TGAAGCCCAATCTCAAGAACAAGCTGAATTTCGCAAAGGATTCAGCTGCATGGACCACATCCAGACGATTTTGAGGGTCATAGAAGTCTGCCGGGAGTACCTACTGCCTCTCGCCCTAACCTTTGTCGAATACGAGAAAGCCTTTGACAGCGTCAAAACCAAAGCGATTCTGTCAGCGCTACTCGATCAAGGAGTGGATAAACCTTACGTGAGGACGTTTGCCGACTGCTACAAGGATTCTACGACGATGCAGCTATTTCATCGCCCCCTGACCATCCCAGTTGGGAAGGGAGTCCGAGGCCAAACAATTTTGCCAAAGCTGTTCACCGCGGCCTTGCAATGAGTGATGAAATCACTGGACTGGGACGAAAGAGGCATACGAGTTGATGTCAGATTCCTGGCGAACCTTCGTTTTGCGGACAACATCGTTCTCTTCTCGAGCAATATTACTGAAGCATAGACGAGGCTGAAGGAAAACGACGTAGGGAAGAAAATAGGACTGCGATTACATCGGAAGAGACTCATCATGAAGAACGCCCTTTGCGAAGATGCAGCAATTAAATTAGATGGCACCCCTATCGTGGAGACGTCTTCTTACGTGTACCTCGACGTTCGATGAATATGGAGAACAACTAGGGAAGAACTTAGAGGCAGCAGCTCGCCAAAACCGAAGATCCCAAAATTTTGACATGGAAGGTTGCTTACACCCCAAACATGAGAGTAGAGCAGTTGGAGCGCATTGCACGGTGTCCTTTCCTAGAAAGCTGCCCTTAAAAACCGCTACGCGCAAGCCATTCCAATATGCGCGGACGAGCTTGCAATTTGTTTTGCTGGTACATGACGTAGAACTTACTATGTTCGGCTGCCTTTTAATCTTGTCATGTTATGTAGTCGTATATAATAGTATCTAGCAAAGAGACAAGATTGTTATGAACTTTCTATTGGCCGACGTTTCGACGGCTTCACCTTCGTCAGAGCTTGAGAGGTCAAAGTGAGAAATCTTTTCTCTCAGTCGTCAGCAGAAGGTTCAATTTGCATTCGATCGGCTACGTGCTTGGAATTACAGTAGAGGCCCACCTCTGAGACCAGCATGAGAGCTATAGCGAACACGTCATGATAAGACCATCCCTTAACTCTTTCTATATGTGCTCACGATCAAATCCACATAAAGATGGATAGGCTGACAAACTTAAACGTGACGGTGATACACTCTTCTTTAACATTCATTTCTGAATTTTTCGTAAAAATCCAAAAGGCCTCTAATGTTTTGCTTGCAAGGGTCTCAGGACCAAAGAATAGGCATTACCTCGAATACCTTGCCGAAATAATTGACCGATATACTAATCCCGGGCTGGATAGCGTTGATTGGAAGTACCTGGATGTAATCTTGAAGAGATTCAGTGACCTTTTTTTGAAAAATGAAAATCTCTGGTGAATTCAGCAGTGCAGTCCGTCACTGGTTATAGCAAACTAGTCTAGAAAACCTTGTCAGAGTTGTCGATACACCGCCCGCCAACCTTGAGAAACGCCCAATACAAAATCGCGCATACGATCGCAATTGCCAGACCCCAAACTGTGTTCGTCCTTACAGGAAAGATGGCGACTGTATGATTTTCGGTTTAGGATGTCTCATAACATGCTTGTCATGTGGAGATACTTATATTGGTGAGATTAGACGGCCTCTTTGCTGCCGCATAAAGAAACATCTAAACGAACTCAACAATTGAGAAAAACCACATCTCTAGCTTCACACGGCATTACGCGCCATGACGGTACGGTGTTTCAAGTTGGAGTAAAGACCCTGTCCTTTGAGCCTGAGACCCTTGCACGCAAAACATTAAAGACATCTTGGATATTCACGAAAAATCCAGAAATGTATTTTGAAGAAGAGTATATCACCGCCGCGCAAGAGTTATCAGCCTATCAATCTTTATGTGGATGTGATCGTGAACACATATAAAAGAGTTGAGGGATGGTCTTGTCATAACGTGTTCGCTATAGCTCTCGTGCTAATCATCCGAGGTGGGCTTGACTACCGTAATTCCAAGCACGATCTAGCCGATCGAATGCAAATCTGAGCCTTCTGTTGACGATTGAGAAGAAAGATTGCTGACTTTGACCTTCCAGGCTCTGACGAAAGCGAAGCCGGCGAAGCGAAGCCCAATGAAAAGTTCATAACAATCTTGTCCCTTTCTAAACACTATAATAACGAGCTTGCGATTCTCCCTGACCCGTCAGAAAAGGCACGCCGCAATGTTACTGCGAGGGTCCCGCAACGATTCTGCCTCTCAACCACTCAGATAATCGCCGGGGGCAGGCGGTCCACAACTCGCGCTTTTCTGCAGGCGGTCAGCAGAATTTTGGGGCGTGGCCAAACCTTCAGCGGGCGGCACTTCCTTTACGGTCGCATATTCTGCCAGCGGGCAGCAATACAGCATTTTTTGCAAGCGCTTGGCAAATAATTTCTTTCAGCGAGCGCTGGCCAAACTTTCAGCAAGCGCTCGGACTCTTCTTAAGCATTTTCGGGCGTACGTCGAGCGCAGGTAAGACTGTGTGGCAGAGGTGTCACCGTTGGTTTAATTACTCAAGTTTGAGGTACTTTCTCTCAGCGAAAAGTACCTGGGGGTTTCGCGGTCCTCCAAAAAGGACCGTGCGGCCCTCGAAATTTTTGCATATTCTCGCGGAAAGTCCGCGAGAATGCGGCCACTGCGCCGCAGCTAATCCATAAAGAAACCGCGATTGTTCTTCAAGCATTCGTCTTCAATTTCGCCAACTTTCTTCCAAATTTCTGCAAGCGGGCCGCAAATAATCAACGAACTATTTTTCCGGTGCGCGCTTGCTCAAAATTCGCATGGCCGCCTGCCCCCGGCGGTTATCTGGGCATGGCGGGACGTGCTCCACTCATCCAGATTAAAAATGGGAGGCCTCGGGTAATGTTGTTTTGGCATTTTCACGCTCTTCAAAGTGAGTTTTCGGAATCAGCGCCTCGAATTACGCCAGGTAACCAAAAAACTTCAAGTCAAGAATCTGCCGAGCGCTGCTTTTAAAGTCAGGTCCAGGCAAATCTGGACATATGGGATCTCAAGTGGACACTAATTTTGTGACCCTGACTAAGACACTGCCAACCGGCAGATTAGATAGTGCTCTAACGGCTGAGATATTCGCCTCCAAACTGACCCCGTGATCATATTGTGCATGGATTCATGGCGCGACACATCAGTTTCGCGTGGGTCTCGCGCGAAAGCATGCAAACATGATGCAAGTCGTCCGGTAATATGATCCTGGAGTCCGGAGGCTTATTACTCAGCCGTTAGTGAGTCATTTGCGCTGCCGCTTGGCTTGTCTCAGTTAGGGCCTGAAATTTCCACGTGCAGTCCCCATAGGTCCAGATCTGCCTGGACGCTGCCTTTGAGAAGAAGAGCAGCTTGGGCCGCCTTCGGCCCTCTGAAGGAAGCTCCTTCAGAGGAAGCTGCTCTGGCTAACAACTGACGACCCGGAGCTTCGTGCCCACCTGTCCGACTCTAACGTCCTCCCGGCGCTCTGTTACGCAGCTGAGACTTGGACCGACGCTGTAGCCATGTTGAAAGCTCTACGGACCACCCACAGAGCGCTTGAGCGCAGTTTTCCGAAGATGAGCGACACAAGCAACATCTTGTCAAACTTCGCAGTATGGACTTGAGAAGAATGTCCCGTCTTCGTGACCCAGCGGAATACCTTGCGAAAGCGAAACATCAATGGGCCGATCACACCATGAGAAGAACAGATGATAGATGGACACTAAGAATATCGGAGTGGATTCCTCGTGAAACGAAACGTCCCCGAGGAAGACCCTCAACGGATGGGCAGACGTGTTCGCGGAACGGATAGACCAGCTGAGAAATCAGCTGGATACGACTTTCGCCCCTGAAACTCGTGGAAGCAGTCACCGACGACAATCAAAAGAACGTGAATGTCTGAAGCTAAGACGAGGGGTACCTCGACATTTTGTATTTTTTGAGATGATTTTTTTTTCAGATACTGCGCCCTCTCATCCAAACCCCTCTTCATAAAACTCATTAAAAAAATAGGACTTCCCTTTCACCATGCCTTTTACAAAGAAACTACAAAAATACCTTCAAGCTGAAAATTTTGTTGAGTTATGATGGATATCGCATCAAGCAAGATGCCTTTTTTCCAAAAATTCGTGACAGGATTTTCTAGCGCTATCTTATCACAATATCATTTCTGGGCGAGCTCTGGGCAACATGAAGATGATTATTCGATAACTTTCGATTCTCTTCTATCAATCTTCTTTGAGCCAAATTTTCCGAACAATCTCCACTGAGATTCACCTCGAAACAGCTAATCTCAAAACGACGATCTAGCTTACAAAAACTCAGCCTGATACACAAAAATAGAACAGACGACAGATGGACACTAAAAACATCAGCGTGGATTCCTCGCGAAACGAAACGTCCCCCAGGAAGACCTCCAATATATGGGCAGAGTGTCGTGGAACGGATGGACCAGCTGAGAAATTAGCTGGATGCGACATTCACCCCTGAAACTCGTGGATGCAGCCACCGACGACAACCAAGAAGATCGTTTATGTGCGGAGCGAGGGACAGGGATCAATGGAAACTTCTGTACTGGGACCCGCACGTCACGTGCGGATGGGCCATTTAAGTATCTGAGTAAGGATTCTTCCTCCAACTAGTATACCCATAGCCAGTGTAAATCCGCGCCATCGGGCTGCCTTTCAACGAACTATATTTGCTGGCACTCGGAAAACTTCTCAATTTGAACGTCCATAACTCCGCCCAGGTAGTCGTTCGGCAGATAGTAAACATACAGATCAGCCAAGGCGAGTGCGATGTATACAACTTGTATGAAAAGCAGGTTTAAGTTCTGATCATTTCCTACAAAGCGGCCTCCCTGAACATTTTGACACTGCAACTCTACACAAGGTTTGTGCTTAAACGAAAGATCATGTGATCGAATCTAATATTATCTTCACCTACCTCTTCCTCGTCGGCATACTCCTCGCGTGCTCCTGTTTCGACATCAACTGTTGTGCTATTAACAGGTGGTGGAGGCTTACGAGCTCGTGATTGTCCTAATAATCACGAGTATATTAGTAAGTCCACATCAGTCGTATCCATAACCAGTCACAAAGTAATTTTCACCAAAAAGGCCATCCGCGGCCATGACCCTGTACGCGAGAACTGCATTCGAGCAGAACAACGAGAAAATCACGAAAATGGTAAGGATAGTATGCAACCATGGAATGACTGGGATTTGAACTATCTGAAAAAACAGGCAATATAATATATATATATATATATATATATTAATGACCAGAGGAAATAAACTTACCGCCCAATAAACGAGGTAGAAAGATACGCTTATTCGAAAAACAGCTAATGTCACCATATTGAGCAATGCCACAAGACGGAAAGATGTCGATTTCTTCTTCACACCATACCTGGAACATTACTTATTCAGCAAACGCTGCCATACATTAGCCTCCGTAGAAGAGAATCCCCTCCCTCCCCCCATCGAGAACGTGTCGCAAGATTCTTGAAAGTACAGTCGAGTAGATTTCCTGCTTAATATAGTGTCCCTGCAGACGCGACAACGCTGGGGCGTCAATAATTGCCTGACGAGTTCCCGAGCTAGTGTTTTCCAGTGTTTTCTTTGCTTATTCTATGTTTTTCAGGCGATTCGTTGCTGATAACGAAGAAAAGGGTAAGTTAGAGAGTAGTTTCTGTTTTCTGAGAAGTTTTATCATCGCATATTCACAGATATCAACGTGGAAGCAGTTCGCGTCAGCTTCTTGTCCATTTTTTTGTCACTTCATGTCTCTTTCTTCTTGTGGTACTTCTTTGAACGCTAATGGTTTTTTACGATTGACTTATTGTCTTTATCATATGAAGTACTTGATTAACATGCTATTTCTTATGGATGAAAGCCGAAGTTGCTGCAAGACAAGCCAACTAGCGTTCAAAAAACGCCTCACAAGAAGGAGGAGGTTTGAAAGAAGAAGTGACAGAAGAAAAGGAAATGACAAAAAAGAAATAGACAAGAAGCTGACGCGAAATGCTTCCACGTGGATATCTGTGAATATGCGATGATAAAACTTCTCAGAAAACAGAAACTACTTTCTAACTTGCCCTTTTCTTCTTTATCAGCAACGAATCACCTGAAAAGTATAGAATAAGCAAAGAAAACACTGGAAAACACTAGCTTGGGAACTCGCAAGGATTTATTGACGCCCCAGCGTCGTCGCGTCTGCAGGGACACTATATTAAGCAGGAAATCTACTCGACTGTAGCCTGCTGACAAGGGAATGGTCAGAAGCCGAAGTGGCCAATCCATACAAGCTGCATATAATTTGATGCAGCATGAAACGCTGACTCTAAATCTGTCTTCCTTATCTGCAGAGCGCTTTTGTGGATGAGATTATAAGCCGTTGAAGGCCATTATTTTGCTTAGAAATTATGCGTGTAATGTGCAAATTTGGCATTACAAAGCCATTCTCCGCTCAGTGTTGGACTAAAACATGCAACTAGGTCACTTCATATGACCTGTACCTAGAGGTGAGCTGAAAGAGCAATAATGTCCCTAATTTTGCAATTTTTGCATAAGATTTTTTCGCAGTAAAGCTGCTCATAACTTCGCCTACAAGCTCTGCAGATATGGAAGACAGATTTGAAATCAGCATTCTACGCTGCATCGAATGGTATGCAGCTTGTATGGATTGGCCACTTCGACTTCTGACCATTCCCTTATGACTCACAAAGAGTGCACATGTGTATCGCGCACTTGTGAATGACTAGAAAAAAAAAATCTTTTTTTTTGATTTTCAGAAAACCTAGCCTCGTAAAAAAAATTCTGGAGCCCATGTGCGCTAAAAAAACCAACGTCGCCATATTGAGCAATGCTACAAGAATTTGAAAAGTTATTCAAAATTTTCTGGGTTAAACCTCCTGATGCCAAAATTTCTCAGACCTCTTGAGTCGCTTCTGTCCAACTGATGTAAGAAATGCTAGGCAACAACGAAAGATATCGTATTATGATAAAGGGCTAAAGGTGTTTCCGTCTTTTTGTCTGTGTGTGTGTCTGTCCGTTACGAAATTCTAGAGCGCGTTCCAGCTAACATCCTGAACCCAAATTTTGCACGGCGTACGCCACCAGCATAAAAGTCCGCTATGCAAAAGCAGGAGCGGATCCGCTGAGTGGATCCCCCAAAAATTGCGCGTCAAACGGATCCATTGGCTTCTGGTCGGCAGAATTGGGCCTCTGTCACCACTCAGACACTGGGACCGGCCGAGCCGCGGCCTTAAAAGGCCTTCCCGGCCCGTCCGCGGCCTTAATTTGGGGGCGTGGCCGAAGACCGGCCCAGCCGCGGACCTTAATGCATGTCGATATGATTGCACCGGCTGAGCCGCGGACTGAATATGGCGTACCGGCTCAGCCGCGGCCCTAATGATGGGGGTGGAGCACTGCATCGGCTGAGCCGCGGACCAAAATCTCTATTACGAAACACCGGCTGAGCCGCGGCCCATTTCCGGCTCGGCCGGTCCTAGTATCTAAGCGTAAAGAATACTTGCGTGATGTACGACGCATGGTCAGGCTGCCCTCAGTGTCCATGGCCTACGATGTCTTTCCAGTCTCCAAGGCGGGAACAAGACCAATATGTTGTACAACACTTGGATAGCACTTTGTGTTGTTCAGCTTTGAAGCGGCTTCAATTTTTGTTTTTCACAGCGTATGTTTTACGTGCCAGTGAAAAAAAAACAGTTCTTCTGTATCCGAGCTAGAGTGAACCAGATGGCCGACAACCAGCTCCGGCTGAGCCGCGGCCGTTTTCCGGCTGAGCCGAGGCCGTTTTCCGGCTGAGACGCGGACCATTCACCGGCTGGTCCGCGGACGCTGCGAAATGCCAGCCGGAAATGGGCCGCGGCTCGGCCGGTCCCAGTGTCTGAGCACTTTTTGCGAGGCCGCGGATACGTTTGACAAGCTAATGTGGAAGCCATAGGCTTTAGCCAGAAAACTGAACTAAAGTTGGCTACTTACAAAATAGCGCCAGAAAGAATTAGTTGCGTAAACGTTCAATCTGCCAAGATTTTACCTGATCATTTGTGAAGATTTTTGGACAGAGATATAGCTCACGGTGCTTATTGTCCTTACGGCGACTATCAAGCCATAAGAACTTTAAAGACCGATTCAAATTTGCATTTATTCTTCTGGGAAAAGTCTCATCCACGCGAAAATACCAATCCCATACGAAGAAGCTGTAGGAATGAGTAATTGTTTACAATCATTCATGATAGCCTGCATAGCGCGCTGAGATCCAAAGCCATTATTATGCGGGAATGAGTAGGCATAGAAAGTAGAGCCGTCGAGCCTCTGCGAAGCAGAGGTGACGCACTAGTATCGTATAAATTGTCAGATGAAAATAAAAGGATCAATGAGTCGGAAGTCATATGCGGCGAACAACAAGAACGATAGCTGATGCCTGTCAGTAGCTCTCATTTCCCTCCATCCGCAGACAAAAATTTAGAGCTCTTCCTTCTTTTAGGGTTTCAATCAAGATAAAGAGTTGGATGTTCGACTGAATGAGCGAGAAAATCGTTGAAAATGTCGAATAAATGTTTTAATAGTGAACTTGTAGTGTTTCAAATTTTTGCACCAACATCTGTACTCATCACTAAGCCACAAGCAAAACTTAACACTAAAAGCATTCAGTTCAACTCAACTTCTTCAAGTGATTTCGCGTGACCCACAAGTGATACTTTTTAAAGGCAGTGGGTCGGCAAAATCCAACAACTCGGGATTTTAACGCGATAGGTTCCTTATCGCCCAACTATGAAAACAGTGCAATCCCGGTTGCACAGCATGCTTTCCCTGCCGAGAAAATCGCTCTCGAACTTACACGCGCAGGCCAATCTTACACGCATCTGGACGAGTTGGCAATTTCCTTCTCACCATTGGAGGCTGCCCGCCGCAACGCTATAACCATTGGGTCCTGCCACGATTTAGCGTCATGGGCCTTGCTCCACTCGTCCAATATCGAAGGGAAGGGCATTAAAAAACGCTCATTTTCGCCGTTTTCAAACTTCCAAAAGTGGATTTTCGGGATCAGCGTATTGAAAAACCCCAGGTAAGCGCAAATTTGACTAGGTTGAGATTTGCCGAGCCACTGCTTTTAACGGAAGAAAAATGGAAATGACAAACACGGAAGTCGGTTGGAATATGTTTTTTTACGAACAAAACGTAAGACTCACAAATTCATAAGACTCCTAGTGTGCAGAAAGATAGAATTGAGTTCCATTAAAAGCCCGAATATTACTATTCCAAGATATTTTTCGGTAACCTGAAAAGGATGAGGAAGATGTATCAAGAAGTATCAGCTAAGTGCGTACCAAAGTAACGACGAATCCCGTAATGACAACAACATGATGAAACAGTAACTCGATTATTCGAGCAGACTGCTCATTCAAGATGAGATCGAAAAAATCGTGCAAGAGGTAACCGAATGAAACGTATATCTGCAATGTAGATTTCGAATACAACTGTGACATTAGATGGTGACTGAAACTTACTAAGTCTACCGCGACTTGGCAACGGTAATTCACGAGATCGTCGAACAGACGTTGGTAGAATAGCAAAGCATAGGCAGCCCACAATCCACTTACTACAGAATGGATTAACGATACGGCTTCGTTCGATATTCGCCATTTTTTGTTCGGCGGGATGACCTGAAAAAAGCCATAATATATGGAATGGTAACTCAATTATTATACGTATTAGGTCATTTCAAAAGTTCGTCCGCATTGCTCTCTAAAAAATCGTAACTCCCTGCTATCTGCCTAGTTTTGCTGGAATAATTTTTTCTAGAATGAAGAGATCATGTAGTTTCTGATAATGGCTTGAATTCGTTCTACCAAGTACAAGTGGCAGAGTTAAAAATGCGAAAAGAAAAAAAAGCTCACCAAAAATCTTAGAACGTTACAAAAAATACCGAAACAAACACAAACATATGTTTCATGTTCTCGTCTTTCCAGCTAGGCAAACTCCTTGTTGAACGACTGTTCTTATGAAAAGTAATGATTTTTTAGGAATTTGCTATACGTTTTCATGAAAATCAAAATTGCTCTTTCTTAGCACAAAAATCCCTTAGCTAGAAAGAGAAGGTCACAAAACCTCTGTTCTTGGCTTTCCCTCCTTTTTTTGTGATGTTTTTGGGCTTTTTTGGGCATGCTCAAAAATTGCAAAACTGAAGTAATTCTCTTTATTTGCTTGTAACTTTCGATCTTTTTCGATTTGATTCGTGGAAAAGGCACTTCAGTAAAGAGCATACTTTTCTCTATAAATAATAACACTTTCGGAATTTTTCGTGATCCAGCTTAAAAAATGCCAATGCCAAACAAATTTATTCAGTTGCTTCTGACTCTCGAACTTTCTCACGCCATTTCATGGCAAAGACACTGTTGTAAAGAGAAAGGTTTCTTCTTTCAAACAGAAATTTAAACGGGGAATTCCACCAAGTAGGAAGGAAGTCATGATATTTTAAAAAACCGGCGAACGAACTTTTGAAATGACCTAATATATATGTAGGTATGAAAGGATAACAATTGTAGTGAGCTTCTTAGACGATATTGTAAGACCAAAATGACCATCAAAGTGACAACAATGGCTCCAAGATAAATTAAGAACATATTCCTTACTCACCGTTAAATCTCTGCTACTGTCATGATTTCTGTTTCTCCCACTAATTCCGAAGTATGAGAAAGCCCGGAAGGTGCATTTGCCAAAAAGATACCACCGTACGACGTACTGCAGCGCACGGAAGAAAAGGAAAGAGCCGAACACCTAAAATCTCATGCTGTAAACAAGACTTGAACTGAAAATACAGTACAAGTCCAATAGGCATGTACCGCAACTTGCGCAGTGCAACTCACGACTACTATGCGAACACTATGTTCGCTACGATCAAACAAAGATAAGCTTCCGCGCAAATCTAAACCAAGGTAGGGGAAATCTTCAAAAATTTCTTTATGAGCCACCGGCATTGACCGCTAGACTGGTGCCAAATGAAACTCTCTTCCCAACGTTGAGTCATTAGAAAGTAAAACTGCATGACCAAACTTGCAAACTAACCCACAACAGTGCCGCACCCAACGCGTGCCACATTCTGCTGGAGGTGTCCAGCATTCCCTCTGCTTTTGGGGAACTGAAAATAGTTCATGAGATATCTGTCAAAAGCATGCATCTCGAACCGTCTGCACGCAAACTTGATGAGGAAGGTAGAGAGCTTATGAAGCAAAGCTCAGATTTTGTCCGTGACCAAATGAAACTCTCTTCCCAACGTTGAGTCATTAGAAAGTAAAACTCATTCATGGACGAGGTGCGTATTTAGGTGAGAGGGATTGTGCGATAAGAGAAAATAGAACAAAAAGGAAGTGCCAAAACTAACGATCGCGAGAGTCGGACGTGCGTACCATTGCGCCGCGCACGTCCGATGTCACTAAGCAGGTGCCAGACTTACTTCAACCGGTTCGTTCGCTTCATAGGTCAGATCACTACACTATCCAACAGAAAAGGTGGTGAAGAATGAACCTGTTGAACAGGATAAGTCTGGCACCTACCTGAGTCGTTGGACGCGCATCTGACGTGCGCGGCGCAATGGCCGCACGCACGTCCGACTCTCGCGACCCTGCAGGCCTCTATACCTAACTTAGCTCGACCTTTTGGCAAGGGACATACATAGTCTGAATCAGTTTCAAACGCTGATTCCAAATATGCTATTTATAGCTGGCACGCACCGTTCCGAAGCAAGTTATAGACCGTCCGCGCAGGGCGCGGAGAGTGCGCAAGGGCCGCCTGTTTTCTCTGCGCTTCTTCCAGTCGTGAACTGCCTTCAATGTACGCAACAGCGTTGTTCCGGAACGCAGCGCGGACGACCTATATCGGCTTTTTCTTGCCCAGAATTGGCATGCTCACACGAGCATCACGTCATCATCATTTGAGTGCTGATACACCTGCGTTAGGCTTTTTTTAGTGAAAAAGATTGGATTTGTACTATTTCGATCCCTCAGCACCTTTTTCTTGCAGATTTCAATCTACGGGAAGTCTTCTCATGTTCAGTAGTATGCCAATTTTCAGTAAGAAAAAGCCCATAACTCGTTTCGGAATAGCGCGTGGCAGCTAGACCAGCATTAAAATCTGCAAGAAAAAGGTGCTGAGGTATCGAATTAGTATAAATCCAATCTTTTCTCACTAAAAAGCAGGTGTATCAGCACTTAAATGATGATGATGTGATGCCCGTGAGTCGTTGAGCATGCCAATTTTGCGCAAGAAAAAGCCGAGAACTCGCTTCGGAACGGTGCGAGGCAGCTATGAATAGCATATTTGGAATCAGCGTTTCATGCTGATTCAGAATATATATGCCTTTTACCCAAAAGGTAGGTAGCTTTCCTTATAGATATGCAAACTACGAATAAGTTGGGCATTTGACGTGGATAAAGAGGTAGTGTTCTAGAAAGAAATGGGCAGAGGAGGACAAAGACAAGGATCATTTCCGTTTCAATTATCGTTGGCTTGCACGTCACAGACGGATAAAGAGGCAAATGGAGAGATGAACAACGGGAACAGGATCAGAAAATGCAAGATAAGTCACCATAACTGGGTGTATGTCGAAAGGCGCGCGTTTCGGCAGGCGTCGTTGCCAGAAGGGTTTTGTACTCTACAAAAGCGAGGTTTCCAAACTTCTAAAGTTTTGTCATCATATCAGAAATAGGAACAGAGGTTTACTAGTTGAATCCCGGAAGACTAAACCAATTTTGAACTTTTTTCCTGGTTTTTCTGATCAGTGACAATCGATCAATACGCGCCATTCGACCGTCTTCCACCATAACTTTAGCGCTGTGTATCGTCCGAGAAGCCTCCAGAAGTGGTGCAGATAAGGACAGTGAATCCAATTCAAAAGAAGTTGTTAGCGTAACTTCAAGACAAAATTTTTTATTTCTACACCAATCTGAACCAACCTCTGCGCTTGAACATGCGCTATACTTGATCCGCTTAATCCACTTCATCCAATTCGCTATTGTCCAAATCAGTGAAATGACCAATGTGGACCAAGTGGACATTGCTTCGCTATTGGTCAGTTCACTTTTTTGATCAGCAGCGAAGTAGATGAAGTGGATCAAGTAGGATGGGGAAACGAACTTCACCAGTGTGGGCCGCCTCCGCAGACTACTGGTCCTGCAATGAATGCAACAACATTGCAAAAGGACCAGCTGCCGGGCTGTAGGGTATATGTATGTCGCCCTTCGGCTCCACCGCGCTCGGGTAGCTGATACAAATCTGCATGCTATAATGTTTGGAGCTGTGCGCTCTCTCGCAGATGTCCCGTGGGACTACGCACTTTAGCGACATATAGTCCTCCACCCGTTGCCGGGAGGCGGCTCAAAGTGAGAGATGGGAGATAACAACCAAACGGCTGATTTCGCGATAAAGCGCGAATTACGACTGGAGTAGGTTTTCCTCTCAACCCTTCAAAAGCATCCAAATTGTGTACGAATGAAGGTTCAATAAACAGACAGGCCCAAAGATTCACAAAATTTCTCCACCTCAGAAGGCATGAGCTAACAACTGCTGCTAAGAACATATAAAGCTGTCTCAATCCTCCAGAGTTGAGAACCGACAGCTTCAGTATGATTAAGCTCACGAGGTTTATGATAACTAGCGACCCGTAGGGTCGCTAGCATGTGGGTAGGGGCAGATACAATATAAGGGCTTAGTTGTGATTATAAATATTTCTAAATAAGTTTCCTATGCCTTTGCTGAGAACATCTTTGCGAAGCATTCTACAAAAGGAGAACTGTTCGAAGAAGCAATAACTCCACAAATCATTCAGCATTTCTCGAAATTCCTGCTGCAACCATGCATGGGGTATTATTTTTCTCTCGTTTACCACGCTCTTTCTGCAAATTTCCCCTCCTCATAGAGACATTCAGATAACCCCCCCCCCATCTTTTCTACCCTCTCAAAAAGAATTTGCTCTTCCAGTTCTTCTCAACAATTTCCATAGAAGATCGTCAAGGAAGTAGAAGAACACCTATCGTTTTGGAAGTAGAAATACACCCATAACAATTTTGTACTACAAAAAACACTTTTCTCTCAGAATCAGCTCCGACAGCAACGAAATCAATCGTCTAAGAACTTTGTCAGAGAATTTTTCAATATTTTCGCCAAGAGATTATGAAGCTTTACTACATAAGTAGATCCCTCCCCGAAAAGCAACTACTGACAAGGGAACGATACATAATGTCCGTGGCCTTTCGAGACGGGATGTATACCATTACACTCGTCTTCGAACGCTGATTCCGAATCTGACTTCCGTTTCTGCTAATCTTTTCTCTGAAAGAAGTTATGGAGGAATTTCGAGCCAACTTTGGCCGCCCAAGGGCATGGTCACCGGAATGGCCTCTACCGGCGCCACGTTATTGTCCAGTGGTTAGTCTGATAGCCTCATAACTTGATGCAGGCGTAGGTTCAAATCCTTTGTGTCTTTATTTTGCACTGCCTCAATTAAACTTTTTCGAGTTTTACTCGAATTATGATCACTGGATACATTTTAGCGCAAACATTAATCATTTTTTCCAGATTTCCACGTTTTTTTTAAGAGTAAGGGAGTTCAGTTAGCTCGAAGATGCGAAAGAAAGCCTATTGAGGCAATGCAAAACTGAAATACACGAAAGGATTCGAACCTACACCTCATCGATTCATGAGCCTATCGCACTAACCACCAGACCACACCGCACCGTTACTCTTCATGCTCCGAATGTATTTCAGTGTGCAGCCAAAGCCCGCACAATCCTTTACAACATCTTTGAAGCGATTAGCAGGAACGGAAATCAGATTCGGAATCAGCGTTCCAAAACGAGTGTAATGGTATACAACTCATCTCAAAAGGCCACGGACACCGAGTATCGTTTCCTTGTGAGCCACCTAAAGACCGTCAATCATAAGAACTGCATTAACGTACAAAAAATTTGTTTCCCTGTCCAATTAAATTGCCCTACGTGCCGCTTGAAGACCGTTCAAAAATTATAAGAACTGTTCCGAACGTACAAAAATCTGTTCCCCTGCCTGATCAAGTTGCCCTACGTGCCGCTTGAAGACCGTTTAAAAATTGTAAGAATTGCCCCAAACGTACAAAAACCTGTTCCCCTGCCCGATCAAGTTGCCCTACGTGCCGCTTGAAGACCGTTCAAAGATTATAAGAACTGCCCCAGACGTACAAAAATCTGTTCCCCTGCCCGATCAAGTTGCCCTACGTGCCGCTTGAAGACCGTTCAAAAATTATAAGAACTGCCCCACACGTACAAAAATCTGTTCCCCTGCCCGATCAAGTTGCCCTACGTGCCGCTTGAAGACCGTTCAAAAATTATAAGAACTGCCCCACACGTACAAAAATCTGTTTCCCTGCCCGATCAAATTGCCCTACGTGCCGCTTACCGACCGATAATAACTATTCAAAAAAAAGTTTATGCATATGTGCCGCTTGGAGACCGTATACATAAGAAAAACCAGCCTTACGACTCTACGGGAAGAAAATAACGAAATCAAGTATTCACAGCGTATTCTCAAATTGCCGTACATGCCACTTTTGGAATTTCAATTCTAAGAACTGCCCCAAGCGTACAAAAATCTGTTTCCCTGCCCGATGCAATTGCCCGTGCCGCTTACACACCGATTCCTTGTTGTAAGCACCAGCGGGACCCATTAACAAGCAAAAGCAAGGCTGTAATTAGATAAACGTTTCCAAAAGTAACAGCGAGACCAAGTTACTCACGCACTCTCTTGTCTACACGTGGAAGCAAGACGATTTTAAAATGACTGTTCCTACAAGGAAAGGAAGGTAGGTCGAAGTGGCATTTTGAAATGGAATGTGTAATACCTTGTAGAGCTTGGAACGCTGATTCCAAATCTGCCTTTGCTATCTGCTGCGGGCTTCTGGGCGAGGAGTTATGGAGGTTTCTGTGAGTAAAAATCTGAATGTAAGAGTAGGCTAAAATCAGTCGTAACATTTTTGTAGGGCTTCATTGGTAGTCAGCTCACTCGGTGCAAGAAATATTCTTGATTCAAATATACCAGTTCGCTGCTGCCTCATTTGAACATTGGGAAAAGGTTACGACTGATTCTACCTACTTTTTGCATTCAGATTTTTACTCACAAAAACCTTCAAAACTCCTCGCCCAGAATTTCGCAGCAGATAGCAAAGGTAGATTTGGAATCAGCGTTCCAGGCTCTACAAGGCAATATACATCTCATTTCAAAAGGCCACGATCAACCTTCCTTCCCTTGTTAGTCAGAGCATTTTTACAAGAGTTGGGAACTTATATGATTTTAGCTCAAGTCACGCTGTTACGCAATTTGGCATCATTTCAAAAGCAACTAATAGGAGTACAACATATTTGAAAGACACATTCTGGGATAACAAGCTCGAAAAAAAAAAACAACCACCCGGACACCCGGACACTGGCGATCCAGTCTCAAAATCATTGCGACCTCATGATTGCCTTTCGAAATACGTGTGACCCTTTTACGAAAATATGCTTGGTCACTCGTTTTGAAATTTGGCAGCGTTCCAAAACGCATGCCACTTGGCAGCAATCCAAAGACAAGGATCAGTGTATTTCATCATAATTTCTCCGTCTGCTGCCTCCTCGTTTGCCATGTTCCACGGATCGGGGGTAATAATGGGTAAACAACGATTCCATAATATATTACATAGTGATTCCAGACTTTCAATCCAGCCTAATTTTCGTGCATCATTAGATACTTTCCATATAGAACTGGAGGCGCGAGAGCAGTGAGCATAGCCAAAACAATCTCTGATAGTCTCACTGTCCGGCAGTGGCGTACCCAGGATTTCGGCTCGGGGGGGGGGGGGGGCGCGACAAAAATTTTTTTCTAAAGAAGGTGCGTGGCGTTAGCCACGCACTCCGCAAAAATTTTGGGGGTGCTTCTCAAAATTTTTGCGGGTCCCCGACCCCTAAAACCTGGAAAAAGGGGGCGTGGCGTCAGCCACGCCCCCGAAAAAATTTTTTTTACAAGGCTATGAATTTTTAAAAAATTTTAAAAATTATTTTAATTATTTGCAAAAGTAAACAAGTCACTTGCACATTTTTATAACCCATATAAGTAACTTTCAAAAATTTCGCGACCCACTCTCGCGGGGGGGGGGGGCGCGCCCCCCCCTCCCCCGCCCTCCCTCGGTACGCCACTGCTGTCCGGGTAGGGAGGGGACTATATGTCGCCGAGAAAGGGCGTCCCCGCTGTCATCTGCGACAAATACGCGCCCTTGTATATGCGCGGACATGCGTTCCTGCAGGACCGCGCAGGCTCTTCCGCATTCAGCGACTATAGTCCTCCACCCTCATTGTCCTGATACATCGACTATAGAGAAAAACATGTAAGAAAAAGCAGCGAATAAGAAAAAAACAGTGCCTTCTATGATCATACTTGTAATGCAGAACAGTCGGGTAACCAGCCAAAAGGTTCTCTTTGCCAAATGTTGCAACCGTTCCAGTTTGTTCCAGTTTCAGAAACAGATATGGCTATATGACCACAATAATATACCGACTGAACCTCCCCAATTCTCTTACAGATGTAAGCGAATTCGAGAGCCGTGCAAGCCTATCTAATGGCTTGTAAGCTGGTGAGGAGCTGCTCCTCGGTAAGATCAACTATATCAACTTTGCTATTGTTTGCCTTGCAACAATGTCAGTGTTGATATCTGCAAAATGAACATGCAGCATAAAGTGATTGCTTCCAGCGACCTCACATAGTCGTATCTTTCCAGTCATCTCTCTGATAAAATCGCTTCAAAGTTGCTTTGTGAAGAAATCCAAGCGTGAGAAATATAGCGCACTTCCCACAACTTTTATAAGTGTGCTCTGAGCACGCAGCATAAGTGGATAACAGTCGAACACACGATAAGTACAATGCGTCTAACGGGCCAAACGCCGCCTAGTGTAGTCACACACCTGCGCGCGAGCGCTACCGAATGATGCACCGCGCAGCGACTATGCCGCGCAAAGCGGCGTAGTCCTTGTTTTAGCTACGTTTCTCGCTTCTTTCTAAGCTTATTCGCCGCCTATTCTCTATCCTGTCTCCATTATTTTGAGCTTTTTTTGCCTGAAACTCTACTTTAGTACCTCCTGATATCTCTCGAAGTATCCGGTATCAAGGCAGATCACCACGCGGATGGAATACAAATTGGACGTTTGAGCTCTTTCAAAAAAAAAGATGTAATTTGAATCATTTCATTTGAGAATTCTGAAAACGACTGGTGCTCTTCCTCTTTAGGGCTAAACGTGAATATCGTAAGTTGTAATCGTATATCGTATAGGTCGAGGAACAATTTGATTGAACAGCGCGTCGGCACTGTTCACTCAAACCTAAACGGTATACGATTACATCCGTTGAAACACGACTCGATGTTATGGTTCACGACATTAGGAATCAGTTATCCGAAGAAGGCCTGGATGAAATGAAAGTTGATAAAGAAAAACGCCTAAGGCCCCGGTCAGACTTCACGCGACTTAATCGTCGCGATCTAATCGCCAAGATTTCCATTCATTTTCATTTCACATTCAAAAATGTCGGCCTGGAAAAGTATCACAATCGAATGCAAGTTGATCGGTATGGAATGATGTTGTAACAGTTGTCTCGTCGCGACTCAGTCGCGACGAGACAACTGTTACAACATCCCTGGGCCTAGGACTGATACCTCGTTCTTTTGCTGCAAAGAAAATTGTATCCGTTATCAAGGCAGATAGCATACAGTCAGGTAGATTTTCCGCTCAAAGGCAGCGTCCGGGCAGGTACGAAAATGTCGAGTACAGAGGCGCTCGTCCTGGTAAGACTCTTGCCCAACTGGCAATACACCAATTTGCTTGCTAGTTACTTGAGCGTAGTCCAAGACTGGTACAGAACTTTATCGCACAGAATACAGACTAACGTTTCGGCGATCTCGTTTTCTTCAGAATCTGAAAAGTCGAAAACACGTAAGTAAACTATCCGATCAAACACCTCGTCGACTACAGAAAGGAGCCCAACCCTCTAAGAAAAACAACAGCTTCAACCAAAACCAAGATCTTGAAAGAGAAAAGTGCATGGTGGACAAGGTGTTTGATCGGATAGTTTACCTATGCGTTTTCAACTTTTCAGACTCTGTAGGAGGCGAGTTCGCCGAAACGTTAATCTGTATTCTGTGCGATAAAGTTCTGTACCAATATTGGACTACGCTCAAGCAACTAGCAAGAAGATTACAACTATGCCAAGATTCATGGATAGTCGAACATGGATGCACCAATTTGCTTCTAAAGCGAGAAATCCGCTTCAGAAGTGGCGACTGGACCGCCTCGGCGGCCGAGACGAGTTAGTTCGATAAGCCAGAGTGCGCATAAACACAGTTAAGACGTAGGGTCCCACAAAGACTCTGCGTCTTAACCTTGGCGGCGGGCAACAAAGTTCAAATCGGGAGCTACTGAAAAAGCCCGTTTTCGGCGTTTTCGTGCCCTCCAAGCTGCATTTTCAGTATCAGTGGGAGGAATAAGCCTAGGTAAGCGAAAAAAAAATTCCATTCGAAAATTTGCCCGGACGCGGCCTATATAGTGTGCTTGCACTGAAAATGAAATGCCTAAAATTTGCGCGTAAACAAATAGCTGCGCCTATGACGCCGGCCAATTGCGCGCGCAAAAAACTGACATTGCTGGCGTGGCTACTGTTCACGCGCAAATTTTACCGCATTTCACCTCCCGCGCAAGCATATATTGAGCGGAAAATCCACTCGACTGTATGAGCTTGGAAGCAAAAAAAATTACAACTTACTGCTACAAAAACGGAAAATTACGAGGTACAATGATAAAAACAAGGCCCGCTATCGCAACTTGAACCCTGCATGCTACGCTACGGTAGCGTTCGCGCATAGATGTGTGACTGCACAGGCGGCGCTGGCCCCGTTAGACGCATTGCATACATATAATTGCCACATATGAGGGAGTCAGGAAACGCCTTGAGATGCAGCAGTGAACTTATTACCGGCATGCATTCGTTAAGAATATGAAGATGAAACGAGGCTAAAACTTGTCATCTTCAGGTTGATAAAGGTTTTTGCATACAACGACAACATTGATCCGATGACAAACGACATAATGAATAGAATACTGTGTGGAAAATCCGTGTTCATGGATATGCTAGCAGAATGAATTTTGAGCATCGGTATGTTATACATAGTAATACCACCCCATCTGTTTTTGAAACTGAAGCAAAATGGAAGAACTTGACATTTGGCAAAAAGATACTTTTGGCTGGTTACAGTCACCCGACTGTACTGCATATCAAGCATCTTATCTTATATATAAGGCCCTGGACAGAGTTCACGCGATTTGCTCGTCGCGATTCAATCGCCGCGATTTTCATTCATTTTCATTTTACATTCAAAAATTTCGAGCTGGAAAAGTATCACAACCGAAATGCAAGCTGATCGGCATGCAATGAACACGTAAGGCCCCGGACAGACTTCACGCGATTTGATCGTCGCGACTGAATCGCGACGAGACAACTGTTACAACATCATTCCATGCCGATCAACTTGCATTTCGGATGTGATACTTTTCCAGCCCGAAATTTTTGAATGTGAAATGAAAATGAATGGAAATGTCGGCGATTGAGTCGCGACGATCAAATCGCTTGAAGTCTGTCCGGGGCCTAACAGTTGTTTTGTAGCGATTGAATCGCGACGATCAAACCGCGTGAACTCTGTCCGAGACCTAAAGCTGAATGTCTGTTTGTATGTACAGTCGAGTAGATTTCCTGCTTGATATAGTGTCCCTGCAGACGCGACAACGCTGGGTCGTCAGTAATTGCCTGACGAGTTCCCGAGCTAGTGTTTTCCAGTGTTTTCTTTGCTTATTCTAAGCTTTTAGGTGATTCGTTGCTAAAAAGAAAAAGAGGGTAAGTTAGAGAGTAGTTTCTGTTTTATGAGAAGTGCTATCATCGCATATTTACAAATATCACGTGGAAGCAGTTCGCGTCAGCTTCTTGTCTATTTTTTTGTCACTTCATGTCTCTTTCTTCTTGTGAGGTACTTCTCTGAACGCTAGTGGGTTTTTACGATTGACTTAAGGTCTTTATCACATGAAGTACTTGATTAAAATGCTATTTCTTATAAATGAAAGCCGAAGTTACTGCAAGACAAACCAACTAGCGTTCAAAGAAACGCCTCACAAGAAGGAGGAGGTTTGAAAGAAGAAGTGACAGAAGAAAAGAAAATGACAAAAAAATAGACAAGAAGCTGACGCGAAATGCTTCCACGTGGATATCTGTGAATATGCGATGATAGGATTTCTCAGAAAACAGAAACTACTCTTTAACTTACCCTTTTCCTCTTTATCAGCAACGAATCAACTAAAAAGCATGAAATAAGCAAAGAAAACACTGGAAAACACTAGCTCGGGAACTCGTAAGGCATTTATTGACGCCCCAGCGTTGTCGCGTCTGCAGGGACACTATATTAAGCAGGAAATCTACTCGACTGTATGTCTGTCTGTCTGCTGTACGTATGTGCGGAATAGAAATTTTTATTTCTGAACCGTGGACCAAACTTGGCACACATACACATCGGGCAGGGAGCGTGCCATAGGCTACTTTTCGTTATCGATCGATATCGATTTTTATCGATTTCTTTGCAGAGTTCACCTAGGGGCTGGGAGTTGGCACAGGGGGGGGGGGGTAAGTGAGCATGGCGATTCCGAATACAATATTAGTTTTCAGAATTATCGAGTACTTTTCTTTCTTTCTTTATTTATTTATTTAATACATTACAATAGTGTAATGTGCTAGATAGTATAATCGCTAATATAGAAATGATGCATAATACATACGAAGAAATATGTACAGATGATTTGCTTTCACTTTCACATCGCTAAATCTTCTGCTTGAGAACCAAAAACTAGGTTAAGAAGTTTCAGTTATAGTAAATCAGTTCGAAAAAGTGGTATATTAGTATGCGAAGTTATCTGCGCAAAAAGATTCTCTCAAACATTATCGAAAGCTTCGATCGCACGATGAAGAGTAGGTAGTAGGATGCATGCCCAAAATAACGGAGCATGATGGGATACCCTAGTGCGAGTAACAGATCACTTTCAAGTGGCACGCTTTGGTGATAGTACCTAGGCGATATGGCAAATCCACTCGTACCTAGGCGTTCATTACACTACCGACCGCCTCCACTTCCTCCGTGTTTGAGCATATGAATGTAACATGCAAGATAAAAGCTTTTAATAATGTAAAGATGCGGCATATATATCAAAAGTAGAACGAGTACGTATAAGATCTGGTAATTCACGTAGATACTCAACTAATGATTTTGATCTTGCAGGAGATTTGAAGCAATGCGAATAAATAAATATCAAAGAAATTTCATATTGCATATAAACTTAGTTTCCAAATCAAGAAACTAGCACAGGATTGATAAAGATAGAGCGTTAAGCAGAAAAATTTAGAACAGTAGTATATTTGAAAAGGTGTACAAAAATGTATATGAAAATTCAGCCATTGTTGTATGATTTCGTTGAAGATAGAATGGTGGATGGATTTAGCTCGCCAAAAATCTGAATGAAGTAAAACAGGGAGGGAACAACTGAAGTAAGCAGCTTCTCTTTCTTAGATAGTCAGTGGGTATGGCCTCTTGAAAAGTTGATCAAGCAGACGAAAGATTGTTCCATATTTTACCTAAAAAGAACGGGAGCCAGGAAAGAAGAGTAAGAGAATTGCCTTCAGAAATATTCGTTTTCATCAATCCCTATTAACGACTAGCTGGCATACCCGGCTCCGCCGTATGTTCCGAATAGAAAATTCCATTTCTTAACCGATCCGAACCAAACTTGGCACACATACACTTCGGGCCCCGGCGGGTGTCATAGGCTACTTTTCGTCAGCGATCGATATCGATTTTATCGATTTTTTGCAAAATTTGAGCCAGGGGGCTGGGATTTGGCACAGGGGGTAATTGAGCATGCTGATTACGAATACAATATTAGTTTTCAAAACCGTGCATTACTTTAATCGATTTTATCGATTTTTTTGCAAAATTTGAGCTAGGGGGCTGGGATTTGGCACAGGGGGGTAATCGAGCATGCTGATCACCCCCGTGGGAATGATCAGCATGCTCGATTACACCCCCTACCAAATTCCAGCCCCCTAGCTCAAATTTTGCAAAAAAATCGATAAAATCGATTAAAGTAATGCATGGTTTTGAAAACTAATATTGTATTCGTAATCAGCATGCTCGATTACCCCCCTGTGCCAACTCCCAGCCCCGTAGCTCAAATTTTGCAAAAAATCGATAAAATCGATATCGATCGATGACGAAAAGTAGCCTATGACACCCGCCGGGGCCCGAAGTGTATGTGTGCCAAGTTTGGTTCGGATCGGTTGAGAAATGGAATTTTCTATTCGGAACATACGTACAGACAGACATACAGACATATAGACAGACAGACATACAGACAGACAGACAAACAGACATTCAGCTTTATATATAAGATAATACATTGTACTTTATAAGTCTCTTTTTGAACATGATAGCGATAGGTGCAGAGAGTACTGAGTCAGGTAGTTTCTGCAGCCAACGTGCAGTACGTGGAAAGAAGGAGCGAGAGAATAGTTTATTTAGAGAAGAAGTAGGGATATCAGAATAAAAACTAAATGCACCTGTTCGACCATAGGAGGTTTTCCATATCGAGAATTCACTGGGTCGTAAGTTAGTCTCAAGACGAATCATTTGAAAGCCAAGAACTAAATCAG